GGTGAGACACTGATTTACACATGCCAACATGCACTGAGCCCAGTTTCTACCTCAGGGTTTAGAATCGTTTACATATTTCTAGCTCTGTTCAGCCCTGCCTGGGGGGGTTAACCATGAGGGTCGGTGGTTCAAAACCACCAGCCACTCCCTGGGAGAAGAGCTCCCTATTCCTGAAGTGAGTCTCAGAAACCAAGGGGCGGGTCTGTTCTGTCCCTACAGGGAGTTTTGAGTAGGAAGCAACGCAATGGCAGTTGAGTAGTGAAGTGTTTTGGTGTTTGTTTTGTATACTCTGTTCAAGGGTTGGAAAGAAGGTTCTGGTGGGGGGGGGGGAGAAAACGTGCAGAGAAATCAGGTTGTGTGAAAACAGAATCCCCTAAGGATGTAAGCTGGGGGGAGGGGACCAAGAAGTGGGGCAAAAAAATTTCAAAAGCCTCAGGGCCACCGTCCTTAGCCTCAGAGCAGGGAGCAATTAACAATGCAAAACCAAAAAGCCAAATGGCCTTATCCAAAAGCTCTTCTTCTGCCGTCAAAGCCTAGCAGTCAGGACGAAGAGCAAGGTGGCCGGCAACGTGTTTCCATGCCTGTGGGTCACTGGCAAGGCCCCCTTTCCTCGGGCGGGGCCCCGGGAACTGTGTCCCTGCACCAGGGCCGCCCATCGCTCCCAGCTCCAGAACGACGCGGCGGACAGCGGACAGCTGGGGCGTCACCAGACGGGCGCGAGGCCCCGGAGCACAGAACCAGGCACCGGAAGCGGGGGGCATTAACCTCCCGAGGGCCCGGAAGTGCTTCCCAGTGTTTAAGGAAACGCCTTCGCCAGGTGCCGCCTTGGATTCACTCCCTTCTCCGAATTCCCAGGACCCGAGCGAATCCGCGCCCCGAGAAACTTCAACTCTTGACCTCCGTTTTCGGGGCCGGCTTCCGAACCCTCCCCAGCAGGCTGACCCGGTGTGACCCCCTGACCCCTGCCCTAAGTCGCCGCGAGCCCGCACCCAAGCCCGCCCCTTCCTAGGTTCCCACCCCACCCAGCGCGCGCGCCGGCCGG